AAATTCAGATGTGGGAGCAAAGGAGGGGCGAGGGATCTAGGCAGGGCGGCACATCCTTCTTCAAGTGAAGTATGTGGAAATCTCCTACATGTAAACAGAGTCAACAAAATATCCACGGCTCTACAACAGGGGGGCAGTTGCCCAACCCTGCCCCCCTGTAGATCCACCCCTGGTATAGCAGGTATGTTGAGCCCTGAATATCTCATATTTGCACAGTGCAACTCACAAACACTGGTTATTCAGACCCCCACCCCAAAACTGCAGTTTGTTCTTCTTCAATTTATCAAACATTATTGTAAAATTGTTCTACAATTTGTTGATGATTTTTGCAGATTGATGAAACTTTATCTTCGTTTACTTCTGAGAAACTCTGCCTCTCTAATTGTACATTGTCTCAGTTTAAACACTCGATATGTACTATTGTGAATAATATGTTAGAGCGGATTCTTCTTTTATTTTTTTTGCACAACACCCCAACTTTTCGGGAAGTTGGTGTTGTGCAGAAAACAATGACAGTGATTGCGAGATTTTAGCTGAAGCTGACAAAAGTCACAAGAGTGACACCTGCACTGCTGATGTAATAATAAAAAACCCCAAAACAAACCCAAAGCTTAAGTATCTTTTATATAAACTAAAACTCAAAAATGTATTCTTCAAAAGTTCATTTATTTAAATTAATGTAATGATTACGTTATTCATTAATCACTGCTTGGTAAATACCATTTACAGATTACAGAGTACATTAAATGTAACATTTTATATTCCATGTAACACAATTATATGGACAATTTACATGCTATCAAATTACTTTTGATAGTAATCATTTTGGGCATAAATATGATTTAAATGTAACCAGTGTCATTAATTTCATGACTTCCCAAGCTCAAAAGAACATGAATCGGTTCAAAATAAAGCAACTAGTTAACTACTCCACTCCATTTATCAGACAGTCTAGCTTACAATAAAGATTTCTGTGGTTTTACTGAGATATTTGAAATCTATGCTATCTATGTGAGATCTTCCCAGCTTTATCTGACAGAAATATTGTGTAACATGGACCCTAATGTGACCCCAACCATGTACGGATTACTAAACAGCCCTACAGAGGACTCTACTGCCTATTTATAAGTTGTTGTTTAAAATGAAAACAGTACGGGTGAAAGTGCCTAATGAGTCTTAATCTACAACAGCCAGAAGGCAAAACATTCCTAAAATATTTTTTTCCCTCACATGGATACTCTGCGGGGAAAAAAAGAGCAATAGTTCAGTTTGTCCTTAAGGAACGTGATACTTTATGCTAATCAGTGGCTTTGTCTTCAGGTTGGACTTAAAGGTACATATTGTAAATTTTTGTTTAGCTACTGTCTCAAACTGAGCAAAATTAACGTAAGCTATCAACAGAGGTTAAAGAGACAACCAATACAACAAAACCACTGTCAAAAAAACACTGAGCTGACGAGATATTTACTCAAGTTAAAATGTAGCAGGGCCGCACTTTTCTGTAGCATCAATTTGTAGCCCAAGATGGTAACAATTCAATGGCATCGATGACATTAACATGTTTTTATTTACAAAGGCGGCCTAGAAAATATGAAGGCTTCTCAAGGAAATCGGGCTGAGACAACAATACAAATAAGAAAAGAATAAGTGCACACATTTGAAAACACACCTACGGGCAAAAAGTATTTCCCCTGGTAAGTTTCAAGGAAGTGGGAACACGATACATCCTTGGAGTTATGTGGTTAAAGTTATTGACTGTCGCTACTTTCACTTAGCTCCACAATTTACTCTGTGTGCTGGATATTAACCTATTCAGTGTTAATTTCCAGAGTGGTTTTGTGTCCACTCGAGCAGGTTCTGCATTTGATTGTGATTCTGCAATTTTTACAATAAAGTCACAAGATTCCCTAGCGAAGAAGATAAACCCCAAACCGCATGCTTTCAGTGACTGATAACAATCTTCTGTTGTTAGCAGCCAACATCCTCTCTGGTACTAGACATATCTTCTGCCAGAAAATTGGTTGCTACAGTGTTCACAGGGTGAAGATTGGTGAGGAGTGCACAAAGTTCCTTTTCTTTTAGCTGTTATGGTTACACCATCTGCACACTCATAGTGTACTACATGTAGCCATACTCTTGTCAGTATGAATCCACATCCATCCATCCATCCAGTTTTTGTGATGTTCAATTGAGACAGTTTGCCAGTCTGCCAAAGCACTAACACAACCTACTTTAAATGCACATTTGCACATAAAATAGCATGCACCAGTATATAAGCATTTGAGATCAAACTAGTGTTAAATGTATATAAAACTTTGTGTGACCACAGTAACAGTGCTTCAGCCACCGACTCCGCCACCGGTAGAGGTTAGCTAATCTTATTATTCTGTGTTAAGCTTGCATGACTTTCTTTCTTTCTTACTTCTTAAACATATGGACTCTCAGAGTGTGCAGAAGGGTGGGAGCAGCTACATAATAACTGCAGGGTCATTAACAGGAAATACCAACAAACACACTGAGTGAATGTGTATGTGAATGGGTATGTGTGCGTGAAGCCGAGTTCCTGTCTGACATCCACCAAAGCAGCTTGTCTGCTCCATAACTGTCTTTCATGCTGTAGCTATTTTTATCTGAATGGCCAAAATCAGGCTGCTTTTATGCGAGTTTTTCCGAGTCCTCTTTTCTGCTGAACGGGAGAAGTTTGTTACTTAAAGAAACTTAAAGGATGAGTTTTAATGTACTCCCTTAAAACGTTTGTGCTGCCTTTTGCTCATGTTTATGACTTTCTGCAAACATATCCTCTCATCTTTTCTTTGGTTTATTTAATCATGACTGACTGAAAGTCTGGATTGAATCACAGACTGGCTGGAGATCTTCAGTGACTTTGCTGGGAAATCTACCCCCCCACCACTACCCGATCTCCAGCTAAACATGGCTAACACCAGCTGTTCATCACTACAAACTACTTCACACTACTTATGCAGTCATTGTTTACTGAGTCCAGTAACAGTGAATTAAACAGTTGGAGTCACACAAAGTACTTCTGATGTAGTTATTTATTTTTAGCGAGTAGCCGGATGGATCAGATGAAAGGCTACTTTTTAGGCGAGCTTTTTTGTCCCCTTGGTGACCAACAGGCAACACTACAAAGCTGAAAGTCTACAGATGTGCTAAAAATCTGAAAAGGGGAATTACAGAAGTGCTACACACTATCATCTGCATGTTAATGCTCTCCCAGTGTGAGAATAGTGACCTTTACTGAAGAAGGAACTGTGCTAATGATTTCACAAGATTCTTGTCAAGAGACCTTATCTATCATCCACTTATCATTGTAATATACACATGCTATAAACAGCAGGCTATAACCGGCTGCTATTTAAAGGAATCCCTTGTTATGTATCCAAATCTGACCACCAGAATCTGTACTGTTGTAAGTTACATGAATACAGATGGACTTTGTGCATTCTTTTGCACACATTTTTTGCTTTTGCTGGCTCCAAACACCATTTTGGTCAAGCATAACAGATTTCCGACAGCTAATCCAGATAAGAGTTGTTACAGAGTTCGCCGAGGGTGAATCCTGGTTATCCTACATTGGATCCATATTTTAGTTGTAACCAAGATCCTGCAAAACTAACACAGCCATCAACCTCAGCTATTTACCTGTTTGTTTGTTTGTTTGTTTGTTTGTTGTTGTTTTAAAAAAAATTGGACACTGTCTGAAGTGCTGCTTCTCTGAACACAGCATTAACAATACTTTAGATGGTCAGCTGACCAGAATTAGAGACCACATGATGGCTGAGACATTCCACTGTGCTCACACTGCAGACATAAACTACTTCAAATAGAAGCAAAAAGTACATTAGGAAAATGTAACATCCTCTTTCCATGCGTTTGTAAGCTTCTGGGAAAGTGAAACATATTCAGATAAGCTTGTTAATATTACCAATGATGTCCACTAGATGTTTTCTTGCTGTACTCACTGAGTGATCAGCAGATCAGGTCTTTTTTTCTGTGTCCAAATACTTTGGTGAAAACTGTCACAACAAGAAGGAGTTTTGCATCCACTGCACTCGCTATGTTGCTTCATTATAATTCTCAAGATTAAGTTAGAGGCCTGGAGGAAACTAATACGAGGTTATAATTCAGTAGCAGAGTAAGAAATACTCAGATCTATAAAGTAAAATTAGTATTGTATTGTAATTGTATATTACTGCATTTTAAAGTGTGAAAATGTTTTTTTTTTTAATAATATAGTTATATTTTCTGGCAGAAAAACAACCTATACTGCAAAAATGATCCAAATTCAAAATAGTGTTGTTTTTTTTTTTGCCTTATTATTGTGAGTCTTACGAACAACACATTGCATTCAGTCGGGTTTTAATAGCACTTGAAACAATGCATACTGTGGATATTTTATTTTTTATACTTAATTTTATACTTTATACTTTTATACTTTATACTTTATACTTTATACTTTTATACTTTATACTTTATACTTTTATACTTAATTAAACCATTTCTAGTATCTAATCTAATCTGTTCATTTATATTTTCAGAATTTTGAATTAAAAAACGTTTAAAATTCAGCCTCTTATGAATATGAATTTGTGCTTTATTCTTAAAGCTTCACGTGTTTCACAAATGAAAACAATAGAAACAATAGAAACATCCTTTGTGAGGATGGATTTTTTAGAATAAAGGAGTGTTTTAAACTTTAGAGCCACGACTGCTGTGTTTTTTGTCTTCACACTTTAAGAGAAGGACTTCTCATATTTGTTGTTTCTGAATATTTACTGCGCGCATTGCACGGTTCAGACAGTCACATTAGATCAATGCTAACTTCATTCACACTTTAGTGACAACTGAAGAGGAAACGACTCTAACACACTCACACACCGCGCGCGCTCAGGCGGGGCTTAGAGGAAACACCGTTACACACGCACGCGCGCAAATAGAGAGGGGAGGGTCTCCGCGCGCTCATCTCTCAGTTTCATTGACTCCATGTGAAACTCTGCTCAACTCAAGTTTTCACTCTGTTTTTTCTGTTTTTAACATTCAGACTCTCTCGTCTTAGTTCTTCTTTCGTACTGCACGTGTTTGCCCGAATAAGAACACACAAGTCTCGTGCGAAGCCTGTCCACGCACGAGACTCTTTAGGAGACTTGGGGAGCAACAGGAGGATTTACGCACGAGCGAGACCCGCGGGGAATAATAAAGTGGATTTAACGGAGACGTCGTTCACGCGCTGCGGTTCTCCTGAGTCTGTCACCGGCAACCCCTGGACCTGTCTGACCCGGGATAACAGCTGTCTGACCCGGGGTAGGCTTTCTGCTGTCTGAGCGGTACAGTAAGCGAAATGTGGACCGTTTATACAGTGAATGACTGATAGAGCTGATGAAGAATCAAACAATGCTGTGGTTAAGGAGTCAGGCTGAAAAAAATAACTGTGTTAACGGTTCAATGAGTCTGTAAATAAACTGGTAATAATGGCAGCAGTCGGTAAAGTCATAACTCTTCATATGACCCAAAGGTTTGGGGGTCCTCGACATTGGAAACTTGACAACAGTGTGTTTGAATGCTTGGACCATTACTTATAGTTTTTAACTAGCTGTTATTAAGCTCATGTTTATTTAGAACTTTGTACTTTACTCTGTAAGAGCAACTACAGCCCAGCATGATTCAAACAGGCTAAAATAAGCAAATTGAGATGAATAAACAAATCCAGAGAAACAAAAGCACAATGAAAAATAGATTTTGCAGTTTTCCAATTTTGGAAAATCGACTTGATTGAATTTTTTTGTTCACTTTTAGACTGGAAGAAAGATTGGCTGCACTCTCACTCACTCTCTCTCCTGCTGTATAGATTAGGAAACAGCCAGATGACAGTTAGCTGAGCTTTGCATATGGGCTGGAAGCAGGGGGAAACTCATAGCCAGAGCAGACAGCAGAAACACTTAGATTTTTGCACTGATGGAAAAGTAGATGTAACTTTTCTTTAATTTAACCTGAACAAATTAAGTGATTTCCTCTGCTTTCAGTCTGTGGTTGGATATAAGCAGCCACTGGCTGTGGTTTCTTATAAAACCAGACACCAGAGTACTTCACAGGGGTGTGTCTCCTAAGTAACTCTGAGACTGTCTGACAGTTGATATATATCAGTATGTTTTTTTTTTTTTTTTGGTTTAATCATCCGGTTATCTCATGTCTAGACTCAGTGAAACATTTAAACATCAACTCATCCTTTAATTAGATTGCATTTTGTTATTTACGTATGCCAAAACTCAGGCTGACATACTTAGCGTGCTAATAGTCTGTGCACTGTGGTGTTAAGTAAAGTGATGCATGCTCGAATTAAACATACTTTTTTCTCATCACAGGTATCGATTGAAATTGACTGCTCATAAATTAAGTAAATTAAAGCTGATTTTATTCTTTTTTAAATACATTTTCTGTTATTTGTTGGGAAATTACAACAACAAACAAGTCATTTGAAGTGAGTCGCAGGATGAACCTGTGCAATTTCCCCTTTTTTCAATAAAGTCCAGTTAAATGAATTACTGATGTCCTACAGTGGAAACGCTGGTAATAACCTCACACTTGTGGAATGCCACATTTTGGGCAATCGTCACATAAATCCCACTCAGACACAACTAAACTGTGAAAAGAAAAATCTGGGAAAAATCTAAAGGAAACTTTAAAGATTTGCTTCAATGACCAACTGTGTAGCGATAAAATGTAAATTCCCGTACTCATTCAGCATAACTTCTGTTTTCTTCTCGCAGTTTGCCCTCCATCATGAAGGTCTCCGCGGCCAGTGTGTCTGCACTGGTCATGGTCTTAGTTCAGGCCCTGGTTCCTCCTGCTGCAGGATACAGTCTGGATCAGGACCACAGTCTGGAGTTTAAAGGCCCGCCTTCCTCCATGTTTGGATACTCAGTCCTGCTGTATCGCCACAACACAGAGAGCTGGTCTGGATCACTACTAGTATTCACGTTATTGGTCTACTAACAACTCACCAGCCCCCTCCAACCCTAACCCTGACTTTTGATCTGTTTATCTACTACTGATTGTCCACTGATGTGCCGTTGATCATTGTAAACTACATTTCAAAGAATGCTACATGCTAGTAATAACCTCACTCATGCACTTTAAATTGTAAAATAACTCACAGCTGTTCTTACGGTCTTATTCTAATTGATTTAATTACCATAGTAACGCTCTGTAAGCTGCCATCTTCACACAGTATCACTTTGTGTGTGTGTGCCCACACCAGTTAGCCAGTTCTTGCCAATGAGAGCAGCTCTTTGATGCTTCACACACAGATGTGATTTAGATACTTGAGACAAAGACAAAACCAGTGCTAAATGCCTCTCTTTCCCTCTTTTAGGTTAGTAGTTGGAGCGCCAGTCGCAAACACATCCTCCGATCATTCAGTGTCTCCAGGAGCTGTTCTCCGCTGCAGCATCGCTGCTGCTGGACCCCGGAAATGCCACCACATGACTGCTGGTGTGTGTTTTTGTCAGCCTTTGTGTTTAGTCTTTTCCCCCTGCGTTACTCCAGTTGTTGATGGAGATGAAACTCAGATGAGAGATGCAAGTTCAGCCAAAACATCCATTATTGTGCTAGTGTTATAAACACATATATTTAATAAGTCTGGATATACTGTAGATGCTATATAAGGTGAGTGAAGGTGATATGCTGACAGTCAACCACGTATCCATGTGTATGCAGATGTGTCTTGGTGTGGAAAGACGTGTGAAGCCGAGCAAGATCACCAGTGGATGGGAGTCAGTTTATCCAGACAACCTGAAAAGGAAGGGGGGCACATCCTGGTAACGCACACACACTCTCTCTGTGCTACTTAGGTTTTTCCCCCATGTTATTGATGCTCAATGAGCGACACTAAACACGTTTTTCTTAGTTTTATCCTCTTCGTTGGTTCAGCAGTTTCCTCAACATGATCGTTGTTGTGACTTTGGTGTTCGTGGTGGACTTTCTGAAACACCATTTGGACATAAAACACGTGACCTGTGGCAGTTCTGTCAGACAAACCTCGAGTTTTAACAAAATGCTGTTCACCATTCTGGGTGAAGGGTGGTTTTTACAATGTGGCTGTTCAGAAAGGCTGTAAACTTTTGGTATTTCCAGTGAGGTAGGGCAGCATGCCATAAAAAAGACACCATCTGAAAGACTGCAAATGCCACCGGATAAGAGTTTGCAGTGCTGAACATTTCAGGGCTAGCGATGGTTGGTGGTGATGTACATCATATAATTATATACCCTAAAAAAGGTATTTTTTAACAATTTTTATGGAAATCCCTTTTAGTGCTGGTTATGTAAAATCTGTCTCTCTGTATCATTCAGCATTTCAGAGGAGCCATTGTGCTGTTAGGTTTGTTTGATGCTGGGAAAGTGGTAGGTAGTCAGACTAGATTAGTAACATTAGCAATGATGTCCACAATTCAGCGCTCACTGAGCTATTAGCAGATCCTGCACACTTAGGGATATGTCTCTTTTTTATTATAGTGACAAATGAATATCCTTTGCACTCCCTGTTTTACTCTATTATGATTCACAACATGAAGCAAAAAGAGGGAGTTGGAGAACTCAGAGAAACTAATCCAAGGTGCAGGGTCACTGTAGAGAAACAGTTAACGCACATTAGCACAGTATCATAAACAAACTCAGAAGTTATGGACTCTTATTTTTTTTAAACAAGAATCCATTTTACATCCAGATTTATGACAAATAGTCAGCAGTCATTAAACAGCAGGTCAGTCACTTAGAAAGCCTGAAACATTTGCACAACAGACAGCAACATTTGAAAAGCCTGAAGGCATTTCTGTTACACACAATGGAGGCAGTGATGTGATTGAGAAAGTATTTACAGCACCAAATGTCTCCTCACTGTGATCGTCTGTGTTGCACGGGGGGGCGGG